CTCCGCGGGTCCCATCTGCCCCAGTTAGTTCAAAGTTACCAATGACGCTATCACTCTGGCTGCATGATTCAATACTGGGACCGGGACTTTTGTCAGGCTGATCGGCGCCCTCCGATTCCTGCTCACCCTTGCATATGATCGCTGCTATCCAAGATCCCATCATGCGGAGATAGATCCCATATGGCCGGGTTAACTGTGACAGGAATGCTTGTCATAGCCAACTGCGCCTGCAGCTCTCTGTATCACATGCTGACCAGTGATGATTATCGCCGTGATGCCACTCCCAACCCAGACCCCAGAATATCTTCGTGCAAGCTAGGATTTGGGATTTCTTTTTGCCAATGCCAAGAAAAGGTCCCGATAGCTGATAACGAAGAGGGCAAGTCCCGTGTCCAAAGAACGTGAAATGCAAATACCTCGGTAAGGCGCAGAAACTGATGTCCTAAAATGTGGGATCCACCTGTGTACTGCCAATGCAGTCAACCCCATCTGGAAGGTGGCTGAAAAGGAGGGGAGTACCGTACATTCTCAGCCGCAAATCGAGGGTCAGCGAGTGTGGCGCAGAGCAGCCCCTGTAGTCCATTCTAGAAAGTACCTGGTTTTTTTTTTTCTTTTTCTTTTTCTTTTTCTTTTTTTGGATCATGACGAACGCCCGATCTGCGGTATTGATGTGTTTTCTTTTGGCTGATGCATGCCCAGCCCTATAGCTCGAGGGATTCCTGGCCGCTGGAACCAATCAGCGTCGACGCCACCAACTACAGTCGACGTACAGTAGCTTGCGTGGGATCTTGGGCCTGCATATCTTTCAGGCAATGTGATCCGTCACGGGGAAAGCCCTGCGTGCAGTGGTGCAGTGATGCGTTGTTCGTTGCATTGTGGTCCCCCCCTTAAAACGTCCGGTTCAAGTCCCGTTCACTGGCTTGTGGTTTTTCCTCGACTCGACTCTTTCCCCCTTTTCGCTTCCCACTGTCGCATCATGACCCGGCATGTATCATTTCGTCGTCCCGAATCGGAATAAGGTGCTCGACCAGCGCTATCGAGCTGTGCAACTTGCTGCACACAATTGTATCTGTTGGGATCGATCCTTCTGTGACTGTGCCGGGCCTGAGTCTTCGAACGCGCATTGAGTCCTTTGACCTTACCCCAACATTCGCGTCTTTGCGTGGTACATACACGCAACCCCACAATCGAATAATCCACACGCGATACGAATATTGAATTATAGCAAGGAGGATTCAGGGCATCAAGATAAAGGTATTGTTCAATTTTTTTGTTTGTTTGGGGAAGGTGTCCAAGCGAATGTGGGAGGTCTAGGGCCTGAAGGCATTCTTTGGTTCGGGATGACATAAGGAACCTAATCTTGAAACCCAAGGTTGAAAACTTTGGTTGACAGGCGGCAGCTATAACCAGGATATCTTAGCTTCCAACGGTATTACATATCGACTGTTTGAACACGGGCTAATTGTTACAGGATTCAGATCGAGTGTGGAGACAAAAGAAACAAACCCCCGGACATAGGCGATGCGGCTTGATCGTGCATATCTCCACTTTTGACTGAAATGCTTAGACGCCGGACCAGGGCCCGAGTCCACCTGGCGTTTAGACCAACACTTTTGCGGCCGAATGAGAAAAACCGGGTCTGATCACCTGCATAACCGGCGCCAACCTTGTGGGTTTTTGATCACAAAGAAACGCGGACTAGCGGACTACTATTTCGGAAGAGAAAAAGGCCAGAAGTTTACTGTGCCGGATCGCCATTCGCCCCCTCGACCGTGGGTAGCTGAACCTATTCCACTTTTCTTCCGTCTACGGGTTTAATTCCCTTTTTTTTTTTTTTGTCTTTTCTTCTTTTTGGGTTTTCTCCTAAAGGAAGAAAAAAAAGATCCACCTCAGCTGATCTCGTTTGAAGAGATTATTACTGTGGTCTAATTTGATCTTCGATTTCCCTTTTTTTTTTTAAAAAAAAAAATCCTGGATAATTCATTGGGTTAGTTCACTTTTTTATTTTTTTTGTGGGATTCTGGAATCTGATTTGTTCAACACTGTGAGATTTTGGAAGCCTGTGATCCAATTGATTCCCTGATATATTTTTTTCTGAATTTGAATCTTTTTTTTTTCCCTCTCCAATTGATAAATTCTTTAGATTCACGGTCGGAACTACATTTTTCTACGGGGGGCCGTTATACCAGAAGAGAGCCGCTTAAGGTTTTTGTCTGGAACCGTGCTCGGTTGGGTCTTTCCGCTTGCAAACTGACGACACCACTCCGTTTTCGTCACTGACACTCACTCTCTCACTGTCTTTGCCTGTGTCGTTCATTTGTCCTTTCTTCCATGGTTGAAATCCGAAGAAACAGAAAAAAATCATTACCCCACTACAGCTGCCACCCCTCTTCGACGACATCGTGACTCGTCCAGGGTTCTCTTCCCAGTCCTTTAACTTCTTCTGACTGGATTTCTCTCGGTCCAAAGACCCGTTTCCATTTCCCCCCCTTTGCCTTGTAAAACCACAGATCACTTCTACCTGGTCTTCTGCATTCCCGGGGATCGACCTTTGTATCTGGGTGGTTCACAGTCTCTCAAAGCAACCTCAATTTTGGGGTTCTCTCCACCTTTTCCCCGTTTGTTTGCTACTCGTCTTGATGAGTGCGACATTCTCCGACGCCTCTCTCTCGCGCGAAGCTCAGGGGTGAGTTCGTTCTTCCCGTGTCTACTTTGACAGGGTCGCAACTCTTACGCGGTCGTCCAGGGAATCCCACTGACAATGTTGAACAACACCAGTTCTGACTTTGACTTGATCATTCGCCAGCAGCCCAATCGGGCCCGCGTGGCGGGGGGCAAAGAAAAAGGTATGTGAAAGCTCTCTCTTATTCCTAGTCTTCCGTCCGTGAAGCGGGGAGGGGGAATTAACAGCAAAGGAACCGGATCTAATGGCGCCTGCAGAGCGCAAACCTATCGATCCACCCCCGATCGTCCAGCTCCGGGTGCGAGAGGAGGGCACCTACCTCGCACAGTAAGTGTGCATTCACCGTGGCTTTACGCGGGTGGCTGACTTTGGCGCAGGCATTACCTGCAAAGCCCGTACTATTTCATGTGCTGCAGTCTGTACGATGCAACAGAAGAACGTCCTGTGCCCGTCGCACCGTCGACTGCATTAGCAGGAACCCTAGTCTCATCCCTTCACCGGTTGAAGGACGTGGACAACAGCGGTTTGTTCTGGCTTTTCTTGGGAAGTGACGGGGTTTTTCTTACTGACGGGTTTTGTAGATGGAGGGTTCTTCGTCTTTGGAGATCTCTCGGTGAAGATTGAGGGCGAGTTTCGCCTGAAGTTTACCTTGTTCGAGATGCGAAAGTGAGTAGCACGGTCGGGAGCCTAGCCTGGATTTCAAAAGCTAAAGAACCAACAGGGATCGTGTCTCCTACTTGAAGACCGTGATTTCAGAGCGGTTCACAGGTAAGAATCTGTTGTGGAGAGGACTGGTTTAGTTGGGTTCTGACAAGCTCGCAGTCTCTCCTCCCAAGAGTTTCCCCGGAATGATGGAGTCAACTCACCTTTCCCGATCATTTGCGGATCAAGGTGTGAAATTACGCATTCGGAAGGAGCCTCGGACCATGTTGTACGTGCTATGAATGGGCAATGTCAAGGCGTGTAGCTAACAACCGCAGGAAACGATCGACACGGCCGGACGAGTTCCATCAGCCAGTCCCTACTCGATCTCCGGAGCGTCAATCGGTGCAGATTCCTCCAGCGTCTAGTTATGGAGGCTATCCGCCGGCGGCCCGGGATTATGGGTACTATGGTCAGCAGCCGCCGGTCAAACGTCATCGTACTTCAATCGACTATGGCAGACAGCAGAACCTCTATGATGTGGATGGTCGAATGGCCCGTCAGATGGATCCATATAGCCAACCAACAGCTGCCATGTACGCCGGTCAGCCAGCAGCTTACCAAACGCCTGCTGCCATGCAGACTTACTCCACGGGGCAGGTGGTGCCTGATTATGCGGCGGTTCGTACCCACAACCCCTATTTGCAGATTTTGGGAGTTCTTTGAGCTGACCTCGGTGAATAGATGTACCCGGGCATGCAAGCGTCAGCCCCCATGTCCCAGATCCCCGACCCCACCGGTCAATCTCGATCTAGCCAGCAGCAGCAGGCCGCTGTGGGACAATTGATGGCGATGAACCAGCCTGGCACCCCTGTACGGCACCCCTCTGCGAACCAGTGAGAGTGTGGAATACATAGCTAAGGACTTTGGACCCGAGACAGACCCCGGATTCGACTGGAGCAATGTTAGCTCAGGGATACACCCGGTCCGGATACCCTCCCACCTCGACTATACTTCCTCCTCTGCAGCGGAATCGCGACTATCCTCAAGGAACTAATGGATCCACGCGAGGTTATTTCGACCAAACTCCCCAAGCGAACACCCCTATTCTTCCATCTCAAATGGTCAACGAAGGCGATCGATTTGGCTCCGTGGCCGGCCCAGCAACCTTTGATCACCCTGATTCCGCGAATGGAACGCCCCAATGATTTACTTGACGTCTTCGACGTTCTCGCTTTACGTTAACTTTTTTTCTTTCTTCTGTCTTGATAGACCGGGAGGAGTGTTTCATTATTTTTTTATGCTTGATGCTTTAACTGGGTGGCTAAAGGTTTTCATATTTTTTTTTACAGGCGCTGGCGGATATAAAAGGGGGAGCGGAGGTCTTTCTTTCATGGGATTGGGAGAAAAGTGAGACTATTATTAAGCCCTTCTTGTACATACAAGCCCTCTTTTTTTTTAAAGCAGTATCACTGGCTAATTGCAAGTGCTGCTTTTATATTTTTTTATTTGACGATGTATGAGGTGGAAATGCAATTGGCTTAACTTCACGTACCTTCCTATGTTTGCTACCTTCCAAGGTTGGAAAGCTTCCCCTTCCTCTCTAACTTTTTCTTCTCTCTCTCTCCTCTTCAGTTTCCTTTTTAATTTCCAAATTCTTCCATCTCATCTCACCATGGAGTCTACTACGGAGCCTACCACAGAGCCTACCACAGAGCCCACCATGGATCCTAATGATAGCCCTCTCAGCAACCTCGATTTGTGGTGCGACTGGAGTGGTAGCCCAAAAGATCCAGTGTCTATCACAATCGCCATAGAGGTAACACCGAAAAAATCAGGCATCCAGTCTTCTCTTTGGTACTGACTATCGTCTGAATTAAGCTACAGGCCCGTGATCATCCTAACCTCCATTTACCAATCCTCAATGTACAGTCGCCAAACATCGTCAAAAGCCCGTCTTGGGTCATCCGGTTGAAGCCTGAGCTCGCCCACTATGATGACACTCCGCCTGAAAAAGAAGCTTGGCTTGGCCAGGAATATGGTGGTGCCGCGAGATATCCCGTCAATAATCCCTCTGTCTCTGACTCTGGGAGTGTCGTTATGCATGACGGTTCGCGGGATAACGACCCTGTCTCTCGCCGTACTATGGATATCTCGGCCCATGTCGATGTCTCGGATAGCTCAACCTCTTCTAACCCTCGCAAGAGCCAGAGCCGGGTCAAAAGCCTTGGTAGCCTAAACTCCCCCAACCCTCGTAAGAGATCCGCTAAGGCTGCTTCACTACCTGATTCAATCCCTCCTGACGATGACTACCAAGGCACCCGACACAAACCCTTGATGACCAACATCGACCTGCCGGGACTGGAATCTGGGCCCCTGGACACCAGCACCACCACCGGAATCGTCAGCTTTAGCCCCTACCCCTACCCCATTCGCACACCTTCTGCCAGTCTGGACGAAACTAGCGTGACCAATGAGAACATTCCGCCCCAAGCCTTAGCTTCGACTCTTGTGTCAGATTCCCTGGTTACATCTGGGCATCTTTCGCTAAACAGCAAGGGAGCGACAATTGACGTTGAAGATGTACCCGATGAAGTCACTCTTTGCCAAAATGGAGAAACCCCCAGCAAGATTGACTTGGCCGACACCGAACCGCTCACCGAAGCAAACTTGCGAGTGCGGAATTATGATACACTTTCTACTCGTGTGTGCAATGGAAGCCTTTCTGACACCGCAGATAGTGACAAAGAAAAGGAGGATCTGCTACTTTCCCATGAATCCCTTGAATCACCATCGTTCTTTTCGGGCTGTGATGAACCCCCTCTCCCCTGGACGTCTGCGGAAATCGCCAACAATCCCGAGCTGGTCTTGGAACATGACATTCTTTACCTACAGACCCCTCCCATTGTCTACAACGCATTATACCAAATCGCAATCTCGCTCAAAGTCAGACTGCAGAAAGGAAAATCGAGGGATTGGTGGGAGTTAGTTGTGAGTGGGCTGCCTCGACTCGCCCAATTCGAGTCTTGTTATCTCTACTTCCGAACACCCCCAGGCCAGGGAATGGAATTCATGACTTCGTCTTTCAAACGATATACGCTCGTGGAAAGCTGCTTGATGGCCCAATTTAACGGTGGAAAAAGCCTCGTGGTTCCGTTCCGTAAGTGCAATGCACAATTCTACGGACCACTGAAGGACCACAAAGTCAACACAGTCATACAAGCCGAGGTGGAAGAAGCCAATCCGTTGTCCTATATGATCAAATACAATGCTGTCTGCTCCATTGATCTCATCAATCACAACTTCTGGGCCGAGAAGTGTCAATTCGACCTTGTTGTGCATGGCGGCCCGGAGGGCGAGTTCGAGGCCAATTTTGAAGCCCAGAAACCTCTGATAAACACCATTCGACTGCAACCGGCACTAGCACCAGATGTGGATGGAATTGGACTCTCGCGCATCAATATCATCAGCACACCCCAAGCTCTGGACATGTTCACGGTGTCATGGGAAGTCAAACTGCCACGAGGAAAGGCTTACACCTGGTTGCCATGGATTAAGACCAGGTACTGTGATGTTGAAGCCATTCTCCTAGAAGATTACGCCAATTCTGGACCCAAGCATGAGTATCTCTCTCCGACGCACCAGGGGGGTTGATACTAGGTGCCTAGATCCATGGTGTCAACTAGGAGTTGGGCTTAACCATTTTGAGCCCACAGTTCAGAAAACTCCACATCTCTATGATGGTTTCAGCATTCACGAGCCTGGGGTGTTTAATCCATTTTCCGAGGATCCAGCTTCATATCCCCAACGCAAAGCTCTTCTCGAGCCTAAACTGACTGGGCCTCTGTTTAAGTCTGAAAGTACACAGACCTTCGTTGAGGAGATTCCAGCTCCCAAGTCCACAAAGACCGAGACTCTAGTCGCTGAGCCAGCGCAAAAGAAGCCACGCCGTGCTGTACATGGACTGTGGACTCTGATCAAGTTCTCCTTCCACCTCTTTGCTTTCTTGGCGTCTGTCCACACCCTCTACTGGTCATACTTGCTGCACAATTGCGGGTTCCGTTTCGAACCCTCTGCTTTCCTCACTTCGTGCCCCCAAAAGGAAGTCTACATTGGCTATGCAGAGAATTGTACCAATACTGATTTGGAGAAAGAGGCGAACACGCTCCTGGAGGAGTTTGATCTTCAGCCTGAGCTGATTCGATCTGAAGTTCAGCAGTCTATCAACACCACACCTGCCGAAATCACCCCAGTGCCCCTGAGAGACCGCTTCGATTACCTTCTCGGATGGCGAGGACCAATTGCGCGGGAGTGAATTTTTGACAATGGGGACGGCCCAGCATCGTTAAGGAAGATGACCGGGACGTGAATGAGAAACCGCAGACACAGCCATGCTGTTAGCAGATTGCGAACGTAGCAGACACAAATCTATTTCTTAAGCCACTATATACCCTCTATCACCTAGGTAGTGTATAACACACCTACGTCTGATTCAAATAATACCCCAAAATCAACCCAACAACCCAGCTCAGAACAGCATCTAAAATTTTGATTGATCAAGAATGGAATTTACCCAGAGACAAGATAGGGTATTGTTAATTCAACGCCTGTTATTCCGTACATTCAAGTTGGTCACATAGAATAGTCGGCCGTTTATATCCTTGTAACGTCTTTTTGGTGGTCTTTTTATACATATTTTTGCATATATTTTCATCACTCTCAGTTTATAGCCAAAAAAAAGGTGTAAACCGTAGGACTTTCTTATATACCAGGGATTGTAGGTACCCCGGACAGGAAATCTTGGGTTGACCCCTTTGATCCTTCGAAGCTGGTTACTTCGAAAACCTCTCGAAAAACTAGCCTTCAGCATCGTAATCATGACTTTTTTCTAGACTGACCGAACGGAAAATAGTATTACATTTATTTCTCCTGATGGTGATCCTAGCCTTACTTTTCGCTCTTTGTTAGAATTGCAGTTGGGTAGAAAAATAAAATAAACAGCTCTATATCTTGTATATTGCACCATTTCGATCATACACATACAACTATACCGACGTCCGATCCAAATAATATCCCAGAATCAAGTCGACAGCCCACCTCAAAATAATCTCCATCCCTGCACTCCCACAGCCCGGTGCAACCTCCACCCCGACATCGGTCCTAGCCCTAGTCCCATCCCCAACCCTCCGAACAAGATCAGCCTCTGCCGTAACCTGACTTCCTTTCTTATCCCCATCTTCATCCTCAGCAACCAACAACCAAGCATGATCCGTCACATACCGCGGCCAAACAACATCATCCACATACCCAGGCGGATCGACCCAGAAGTTCTGCGGCGGACGATCATCCTCAGCATGAAGATCAACCTCCGTCCTCGTCTTTCCATGTCCCCCATCCCCAGTCTCCACCGGTGGTTCCGGCGCCGCCCCAACAGTCACATACCCACTCCTCCCCTCCCGTCTAGCCTTAACAAGCTCATACGCCGCAGGCAGGAATAAATGAAGATCTATGGAGTCATGTACAGAACGAAGTACGTGTTCTTCTTTCTCGGATTCAGACGGGGGAGGCGCAAACAGCAAAAACCCCTCTAAGAACGCAATGGTCTTCTCATTGCGTTTCCCTGTTTCATCCAGCAATCGAGTACCAACAACACCCCGCAACTCCTGCACCAGCTCCTCCGACACGCCGGAAGAAGTCTGGCTGTTCTGGTCTTCTTTGCTGCGAAGTCGGGGTGGGAGCGACCCTTCTTTGCGCACGTAGTGCAGTGCTTGCGAGAGGAAGGGGATGTCGATTGCGGAGGCTGTGTCCCAGTCTTGGATTCTTGCGCCGGAGCGGGTTGTTGTGTAGGGGATTCTGGGGTGGATGTTAGTATGGAATGTGGGTGTGTATGAATGAGGTGTATGCACTGATCGTCTGGGAAATAGAAATCATCTTCGTGGACTATGAAGGTGTTTAGAGGTTTGTCTTTTGGCTTGAGATGCACGCCGTAGAACACGCGTTGCAGTAACCGTGCGAGGGTTGTCTTGCCGCTGCTCGAGGGCCCGGAGATCCCTATCACGATTGCTTCCTCGCTAACTGGCTCCATCTTTTTCTCGGTGATTTGGAGAATTGAAGCTCAAGCGAGGGTGAGGGGTGCGGGGGTGATAAGCAAATTTGCTAATCCTAATTGGGATTAGTCCCTATGTATGGAATATGTATGCTCCCTTGAGCCTCAACACATCTCTTTTCCTCTTAATTTCCTCTCGACTCATCCCATATTTTTCATCGGGGACAGAAGATGGCAGGATCCAGGTAGTGTTCCGTTATTTATAGTAATTGTCATATCTTGGAATAGCTTCTAGAGCTGTATATTTATAAGCATAGATATATATCATGTGAATGGCCCGAACAACGAAACTCGTCTGTCAACACCGCCCCCAGGTAAATCCGACACAGAGTGCATCGGCACATATTGCAATGGGCTAGATTCTTTACCACTATCATCAATAACCACCACACCCTCCGCAAAGCTAGCCCGCGAAGGCCCAGACACAGGAACATTCAACTGGGGCAGAGGCTGCTGCGGCCAAGGACGCGCATCCACAGCACTCTCACCCATAACTTCATCATGATTGGCAAAGCCGATCCGTCGCCGCTGGGCCGATGGCCCCTGAACACCAGCCAAATCAGAATCGGCATCGGATTCCGGACCCGACCGCTGTCTTTTCTTCAGCTGTCCCCGCTGCCGCAATGGTCCGCGCACAGGGTCCACCTCGCTATCAGGAATCGGCAATTTATGCTGATCAAATAGCCCAATCGGATGTGTCAGCGGAGCCATGCCAGCCGAAGCCTCGTCGGGCATAGGCAGGAAGGGCTCGTTCTTAATGATATCGCTCATGGTATTATCTTTTAGCGGGTTATCTCCTGCGTGCTTTGTCTCCTCGGTAGTCATGTTTTTGCTGCGGTTGAGCATCCGGTGTTCGAGAGTATCGCCCAGAACAAGGGTTTCGACGTAGACTGGTCTTTTCTGTCCGATTCTGTGGGCTCGTTTGATGGCTTGGCTCTCCACGTTGCGTTCCCAAATTGGGTTGACGATGTACATCCGCGAGGCTTCGGGAATGTGGAGGCCGTGAGAGGCTTCTCTGACACTCATCAGCAGAACGCGGACTTCTTCGGTTTGGCGGAAACTATGTAGATGTTCGGTTTTGAGATTGGATCCCATGCTCGTGGTACTGGCGTAGGTGCGGAAGTTAACTGCTATTAGATCCAGGCCTTGCTCGACCCAGGAAGCGACGTTATCGTGTTCATAGAAGATGATGATTTTCTCCATCTTCTGGAACTTTAGCACTTGCTCTAACAAGTATCGAAGCTTGGCTGATGCTACTCCTTCCAGCTTCGTTTGTGTCAAGGGTGAAGTTTCCGGGAGAGAGCGGAAGACGTTCTTCTTAAAAGTCTGTTTTGTATTTTTCTTTTTACTTTTCAAGCTTGATGTGTTTGCTGCGGAATTCGCCAACTCGGGGGCACCGCTGTGAGGAAGAGTAGCTGTCTGGCTGTGTTTGACCACCTCCCGACGAACTCTGATACCCTCTCCCGCGAGACCTTCGGCGGGATCAGGAGTGTGGAGATGGTTCATCACAAATTGTTGTGCGCGGCGGGCCTGGGTCATACCCATGAGCAAGGGCTCGTGGTCGGCCTCAAAGGGATCAAGGGCCCACATGTTGCGAGCATGCGCTGGGAAATGCCGAACAAAGACTCCAAGCTCATGCATCTTTTTGAATCCATTCCACCCGGGAGAACCAATTGCCTTTCGTGCGATCTGGATTCCATGTCTTAATTGGTTGAAATCCACCACTGTCATCTTCTCTTGGTTTTCTTCTAGATATTCCAGAGCAATGTCGACGGTACTCTGGACGTCATCAGAGCCAGCCCACCAAAATCCAGCTAGACGTAAGTTTTGTATCAACTCAGTGAGTTTAGATTTGCTGTCTTTGTTATCACCAAACATATAGTCAGGCCCTTCACGTTCAGATGTAATGGCGTTCACTGAGAGCGTGAAAAGGAATACGTTGATATATAGCCGGTCGTAAAACGTTGGCTCAAGGTAGACCACCTTGTTATACAGCGGTGGAAGAGTGATCTCTTTTTTGACCGTCTCATACGGGTGCCGCACAACAAGACTCTGGAGGGTCGCACGTAGAGATGGAGATTTTCGAGCAATTCCATCTTCACCCACCGTTCTTGTGTATGTATCCCACTCCGATTTCCAATCCTTATTACGATTGTTGGACCAAGGCTTGAGATCGAGGAAATCATGAACCATCAAGCCCAATTTATCCAAATCTTTTATTTCATGCTTGAAGGCACCGCCCGCGTTTCTGGCTTTTTGCAAGATCGCGCGACCGTTGAGTGGAGATTCAGTATCGTCTGTGTTCACTTCCTGTGAAGCAATGCTCAGCTCCACTCCATACAATTCCGAGAGAGGGGTTCCCGAAATAATCCAGCGGCGCTCAAAGTGCAGCTTTTTTAGGAAGTCGACCATTTCCGTTGTTTTACCGGCAACGTCATGCCCTTCATCGACAATGACTCTCAACCAGTGAAGATTGACAATAGGATAATGCCCAGACTTGCCTATTTTTGGATTCTCTCTGTTGCATCGGCCCTTGGAGAACAGCACAATATCGAAGTTTAGAAGTTCGTCCGTTGGTGGTGTTTTGTCTTTATTTCGCAGAATTAGGACGTTCAGATCGCTAGTGTGAGTAGCAATCTCATGTTCCCAGTGGTCCACCAAGTTTTCCGGGACAATAACTAATGTACCAGAACAGAGACAGATTTCCCTGGCCAACAGGGCGTACTTTGATTCACGCTTTTGGCGTTCGTTTGGAGCCGGTATAATGTAGGAGCCACTGTCGGCCATGCAGGCCTCTATACAATTGATATGATGTTTTCCCTTGGCTTTCTTCCGGTCAAAGAAGTCTTTCCAGGGAAGGGAAAAGCGACCAGCAACAGAAGCAGCCATTTTCATCAATGTTCCAGTCTTGTTCCTGATGGGGGTATTGAGTGTTTGATACTCCACCGGGATTTTGGGGAAATGTCCTCGCGTAGCCAATATCAGAGCAAGACTGATGACGGTTTTCCCGCATCCCATGGACTCTGCCAAAATCCCTAGTAACAGTCAGCATGGTTCACCAAGGTATTTACAGCACAAGAATCATCGAGAAAATCAGCGCGCCGAAGGCATGACCACCTACCTCCACAGGCCTCGGGATACAATATCTCATTCCTCACAATTCTCCCCTTCACCTTATCATAATAGAACTCCACCCCAGTCGGACCCCGTTGGCGCTGAAATCTTGGGTCAAGTGCCAGCGCCGGCTGTGTCTCCCGCCGAACCATCACAGCAGCGGATTCGCGCTGAAAGTTATAAAGCGTCGTTTCAAGACCTCGAACTGAACCCTCACGCAATTCCTCCATGATCATCCGCGAGTTGGGATCTGTTACATAGGCCAAGTTTGTTTTAGGTTGTTGCAGTGTATTGTATATATAATATAGGGATTCTTCTTCTTCGCTATCGGGTTGAGTGTTGGCGAATAGACCAGCATGGGCATTGACCACGCCGTCCCATGCTTCGGGGAAGCTGTCAAGCTTGGACATGACCCGTTTGAGAGCAGATATGAGCTTGCTGTTTGACTTCAGATGGGTCCGCCGTGCGTCTGGTAGCACGAAAACCTGTACATTGTCGCTGTCATCAAGAGCGCGTGTGCGGATCCATTCGTGTTTTTCTAGCAGAGCTATGTCGGTGTCCGCATAGCGGTGTGTGGACGAGGATTTACCCAAAACTCCGGCTGGGATATAGTGATCGATATGATTAACCATTGCCTCTGAGGCGTGGGAGTTAGGAGGCTCATCCGTCGCCGCTGGGTCTTCAAGTTTCACATGGAGTTGAGGACTGGACGGGGGAACGAAAGCCCGAGAAAGTCCTGACGGAAAGTCGTCCATAAGTACTGGCAGTCTGTTCCTCACAGGCGCATTGGCTCAACTCCGGCACGGTGAATACTTGCAAGAAAAACATAAGACGGGAGTTCGGAGATAGATAGTCAGAAAGGCGACCGCCTTCGATAAGCGGCTCTGTCGGGTTGGTGGATCAAGAGGGTCCGAGCACCCAGGGGTCGGCTTCCTAGGACAACGTCCCCTTTCTCGATACACTTTACGGAGTACATCGTCTCAATTGTGATATTAACCTCATTCAACAGTTTTCACTATTAATATTATGAACTAGAAGTAAGATAAGCCATCATTAAATTACCACGATCTAATCTATCATACGCCCCAACCAATGAATCCATGCATCGTTGAACAATGCACCAAATTGCATTCTATGGCTCAGCCCCAAGGCTTGAGCTTGAGCTTACTGAGTCAAAAAGTCATCAATCTCAAAACCCATCCGCTTAAGTGACTTTTCCTCCAAATCCCGCCCAGCAACCTTCCTTAGTACGACCGTGCGCGCATCCTGCAGCCGCACCTCGACAGGATTCCCACCCACGCGATCCAACTCCTCCTTACTGCATTCGCGAATATAAACCGTGATATCAGGTCCCACACAGGCACGCCACAGCGATGCCATCCACTGCCAGTGATCGAGTGGAGCGTAGGAATCGCCGATAGGCGTGGAGCAGGCGAATGCGTCTGCCGTGGTGAGTTGGTAGCGCGGGACGATCGCGATCGGCACACTATAGTGGCTGCTTGTTGTGATTGCGCTGACCTCGGAGCCGCTCTCGCTTGATTGGACTGGGGAGTGGATTTGCATGTTTGCGGTCTTCGGTATGAGAGTGCGGGGGGAGACGTTTGGGGCGGTGGTTTCCTCGTCTGTTGTTGTGGAGCGAGCGTCGACGGACCCGGCTCTTGAGGTGGATTTCACGAAGCCGACCACTTCGTCGGAGATCCGGTGCCAGGCTGAGATGGTGTTGAGGTAGTCGACTGTGGCGTCGCCCATCTGGCCTGCTTCTGCAAAGGTGGGTCGGGGTGGCTTGATTTCTGGACCGTCAAATACCCGTACACTGTACTTTGTTTCCTTTTTTAGAAGTTTGTGGAGGTATTCGACGGCTATTTGGACAAGGTCAGGGTCTTGGCCGTCGACGGCGATGACCGGACCGCGGGCTGGAGGGATGCCGTCGCGGAATGAGGGGAGGAGTGGTGGGGAGATCTTGGCGAGGACTTTGATCTTGTTGAGGAAGGGGATTGTCATGACTGTTGCTTCGACACTAGATCCTTCTTGTGGATACGGTGTCAAAGGAGTCATCGGTGTTGTCTGGAGTGGCGGTAGCTTCAGACTGGGGTCGGGATGTGACTGTCCCTGGACACTTTGATATGGCCGTTGTGGTTGAAGCATGGGGAGATGGCGTGGCGGCATATCCGGGTGAGCGCCCCAAGGGCTCATCGAGTGCGGTGACTCCGGGATGCCACTGCCAGGACTGCGGTCCCGGTAGGAGGGGTGTAAAGTTGGCTTGAATGAGCCGTGGGATACTCGGCGGCGTTTATTATCAGGAGATCGACCACCGGGCTCCTCCCAGTGTCTTTGACGAGAGCGGGGATCGTGGTCCACCTTTGCCGGCTTTGGTACTGGATTGGGGTCCTTCTCACGACCTTGGACGCTTCTTGGTGGCATGCTATTTGGGTGTGGTGATGATACTGAGAAGTTTGAAGGTGGTCGATACCCAGGCCCACTGCTGGGTGTGAACGGGGTCATGGGGGAAGCGGGTGCATTCATCAATCGACCACCACATCTGCTGCAGTGTGATGATCCAGATGGATTGTGCCCAATACCTGAGACCGCACTCCGGGCGCTGCCATCCCGACCATACCGCCGAGGCTGGTAGCGGTAGTCAGGATATTGCTGCTGATGCCGGGCTTTTTCTTCCTGATGTAATTGTCAGCGTTTTGAACTCACATTGCCAGAGATACTTTTCTTACCTCTGCCAGTGCCTTCCATTTACTCTTGTCATCCTCCGAAAGAGATCGCCACTGTTCTCCAATAATCTTGGAAATCTCGGGATTGGCCAAGCCAGGATTATGAGCGACTACCATGGCCTGATAATGCTGACGATATAGAATAAAAGCTAAAATTTCAAATATTAGCCATGTCCATTGAGTCCGAAAGATCAGATCTGGCTAATGATGACCAAAAAAAGAAACAATCGAAAAAAGCACTTGCCAAGCTCTAGTGACGGTGCGGACAGTATCGACTCACCATTACGAGGCCGGGGGATTTTTGGATCCGGTTGACAGAGGCAAAACTGCATGACACTCTCTTTCTGTGACTTGACAGGACTGGTACTGCTGGCCGAAGAAGACGATGACCGGTCTGATCTTTCCCGCATGGGCAATTCCGTGGTCGAGATGATGGGGCCGACAGGCTTGAGAGAGCCACCGGAGGACATCTTGTGTGTCTCTTTGGTTGTAGTTACAGAGATATGTGGATGTGTCTGGAGTACCCCCGTTGATCGGGGATCTGGATATCTGACTGCAGCCCCAACTGGAGCACCAGGATGTCTCATGGCCATGGCTGATTTGGGCAATTCTTCGTTCATGACTTTGTGATCGAGTAAATTGCTCGGTCTAGGCAGAGTGACTTGGGCAGACTCATAGCGTAGAGCAACAGGGTTGGGGAGAACTCGATCGTAAGACATTTAATACTTTTCAATGAAAGGGTCGAAGGCGAACTTTGAATCAAAGAAATAGGCGACAAGGGAAAGGTTAAGAAAGTACCCTTTGAAAGAGGTAGAAGTGAATAGGTTTGGGGGCGACTGGGCCCCAAGAAATAACGAGAAAGAAAGAGAGGGGGGCTAGAAGCGAGAAACAAAGCCGAATGAATCAGAAAGGAAAATGGGAAATAATCCCAATAAGAATTGATTGAACTGGGGAGTATCAGGGATTAGACAAAGCGAAGTATAGCGTTTGGACCAAAAAGCCCTAAAAAGCGCGGGTTTCTTTGTCTTGGGTCGGTTTCCCCCCCGGAATCCCTGTCTAGCGGCTTATTCTTTGACAATAGCTCCAGATTGCCCTTGATATTTTGACCGAGCCAACCGAGAAATAAATTAAAAGAGAAAAGAATTAAGTGGTTTTTTTTTCTTTGTTATAATTCGATTTCTATGGAGACTGGACTTGAAAATCTCAACCTACTTCCAACGACACGGTACCCTTCAGATATTAACCATAAAGAAAAAAGAAAAAAAAGTCCCTTTTTCTAATCTCCAGGGTCAAGGTACTAGAGTCATTGTTTTCTTTGTCTCCGGATGCGGCGACCCGCTTCATCGAGCCTGTCCAACTAATATTACCTTGATTGGCCGGGCATTCTGAATCGGTTCCCCGTCAAATCAGACAAAGAAATCTGCCAACAAACACGTTGGACAATTTTTACTTTTAGGCGCTGGTATTGTCACCTGGACGTATTTCCCATATGCCATATGATTCTATGAATATAAATGTATCAAACTCCCGGGATCTGGGATCTCGATCTCCACTATGCGTTACAGTGGACTTGGAACAATACCACCTTTTCCCCTATTTCCCCTATTTCCCTCTGTCTCGGGTAATGGATCTGGATCGAACCTCCCAATAGCCCTGCAGGTTCCAGTTTGACATACTACCCTGCCCTTGGATCAAAAGATCCACCGTTTGAGCCCCTTGTCTAATTGGGCCATTTCTCACCCGCATCAAGTATAGTAGGGTAATGCGTTTGACATTCGGTTACCGACATTACTATAGCCCTTTGGAGACGTCATATTTCTCCTTTTTTTTTTTTCTTTTCTTTTTTTTTGGGGGCGTCTCATTGATCTGGACAATGTCTAAGCTGCAAACCCCCGGCTGTGGCGCTTCGGTGACACTCCCTTAGGGTTCAATAGAACCCCATCAATCCCATGGTAGATCTCCGTAGCCATGAGCCGGTGAGCTGAAGGACCTAGATGCATTTCGTTCCTGAATATCAACCATGTCTCAGCAAAAAAAAGGTTTAATCCGTCGATCCCTCCCTCTTTCCTCCCAATTCTTATAGAAATGGTAGGGGATGACGAGGGGAGACAAGAAAGGAACCACTTACCAGAACAGATACTTATCTGGATGCTCACACTGTTTCCTCTCCTTTGACATCATGACCCGGAACCCACTCTCAATACAAGGCTCCTCGACATTTTCCCACCCATCCAAGTTCTTCCCTAGACCATTTTCCTCCTCAATGCCTGCCGCATAGAGCTGCCAGTCACGGATGCGGTTCATCATGAAAGCATTGGTATCAAAGAGATAGACAGTGCCATGACTCCACTCCCTAACCATCTCACGCAGCTTCCCATTCCACTCTTCCAAGATCCGCACTGTATCCTTGTACTGATCACCGGCGAACTGAAACCCGGGCAGGAAAGTCACGTCAACCGTCTGCGTCAGAATGAGTTTCAGCTCCGTTGTGCCCAATTGCCCGGACAACGTGTCGAGTTGACCCATAAACGTTGCAATACGTCGCTCAACCGATTTGCTTGCTGCGTCGTAGTCCTCCGTAATCATGCTCCAGAGATCCCAGACCCCAAAAGAGACGACGAAGATCGTCCGGTCCTGGCGGGACCGGACCGCTTCCTCGGAGAGGTCCTTCGTCGCAGCTGACTCGGCGTCTAACCATCGCTGGAGCTGGGATCTGAAGTCTGCGAGGTGGGTCTCAGGCCATCGGCCTAGTAGATCGAGTTCTTTATTGTCGACCACTGCACCGATGGCATTGCCATTTATAAGTGGATTTGCTGTTGGTGCGAGGTTCTCTTGATGGCAGGAGAACTATTCGTGTTCCAGGTCGTCTTAGTCAGATATGATACTTGTTTCTCCGCGTTTAAGCTTTCCCCGGGTGTTATCATACCATTGAGCAGAGCCAGTCCGTCCACATCTTGCCCTGTGCCTCGCTGGTTTGATTACCGCTCCATGAGTCCCCGAACACGACTAATCTCTGGTCGAATGTACTGGCTACTTGGAACGGCTCTGATACCAAAGGGACCGTGTCGGAGAGAGCCCGTGACTTCAAAAACCATGCTGATATGAAAATCGTACAGACTGCGACAGCAGACAGTGCATAAAAACGGTTAAAAAGGCGTATCATGGTGACTGAATGGCCAAGTGTCAGGGCCCAGTTGAAGACTGTCGAGCTTGGATCACAAGTCTTCTGCTTGTTTCAGATATAAAAAAAAAAGTCGTCATAAATGGCTCCGATGGCAAAGTGCAAGGCGTCGAGCTATGCTCCCAGCAATAAAAATGCACAATATAATCAGAGAATGTCTTTCAAATTCTGCGGGGAACCAAAAGATTATCCAGCACTGCGGAAAATTGGTGACGAGGAAATCTCCACTCGGACAAGAAACCGGCAAGGTCGGATATGTGGTGGTTCCTCCAGAAACGCTACAGAAAAATGGAAATAGGATAAAAATAGGATACAATGACCAAGACTATAAGCTAGAGCTATAATATACAAGAGTCTGCACCAAAAAAAGCTAAAATTCCTATATCAGACGTGAATTCGTCACATTTGTAGATTGGCCGCGTGGCTCAGAGAGAGCCGAGGAGGACAACGTTCGATTGGGCAAATCAGAGTCACTAGTTTTGACTCCTTTCTACTCGAGCTGGGCCAGGATCGCTTGATCTGGTATTTTCTTCCCTATCTAAGCCTGTTGGTGATTTTTAGGTTCTCCTATTCTTTCACATTCTTCAGTCCGAATAGTGGAGACCAGTCTGCTTGCATCTCATCTAAAGCCCATCGCACAAGGCCATGTCCAGTGGCGTGCTGTTTCGTATTGTCTCAGGGATTTAAGTTCTTTTGGCCTATTTGCCGTCTGATATGCAATTGTTTTGTGGTACTATGGACATGCCAAGACATTGTATAGTGCAGATTAGTGCAGATCTCTAGAGCGGAGTACTGTGAGACACAATGATTCTATTGGGGAAAAGACGGACAAGGGAGAATAAAGTATGGGGAAAAGGTATGATATAAATCGAGCTAATCATTTTCATCTTTCTAGCTATAACAATGAGAAAGACAAAAACACACAAAAATGACTTCCAAAAAAACACATCGTAGTGTTATTTTGAATATGAACTTGGAACGTCCCTAATATTATTGAACGAAATGGATCAGATTTCTGGAGCCCTACACTGTCAAGGACAGAGGCCACATAAGCAGCCGACTATGCTTATACATCATCCCTGGAATGGGTCCGGCAATTAGTCGATCAATACTTGCCGTCCCTGAGTCTCCATATTTTGAAACCTATATCCACATATCTTTATGAGACAGTAGGTCCAAGGATTGTGTGCATATATGATGGTTTGTCAATGATCCATGCATTCAGGCGTTTGCAGGGTCTGGTAAGCCAATGATCAATACCAAGGCCGGGTATAATAGAGTCAAATATGGTTAGTGGATGTGTTTGATTTGCGATTGCCGTACGAGGCTCGTGGTGGCTGTCAATGAGTCGCTTTGTGAGACCGTGTTAAGTCTTTGATATATAAAAGTTGGAGTTCGGCCGGTCGGGACTGAATCATGACCCGAAACATTCATTCATCATTCCATTGGTGATTCAAGGTTCGTTGTATTTAAAAGTCCCATTGGGAGGTCTCACGCCTGATTCAAAGAGCAGTGTGTTGGTTCAAGGTGGAAAGAAAATTGTAGTTGTTGGCGGTCCGGGATACGTCTTGTCTCTTGGATGCATAGTTGGCGGGGGCGAGTTGCATGTTCATCGTTGAAAATACAGTCATTTTGGAGTGGTCAGCGCTCTGTAGACACCCACACCACAACATTTTGTGAACATGACTGAGTTGATTGACGAAGAAAAGAAAATGCCTGGGTGCTGAGGCCAGGTCACATGACGTTCCCAAAACACACTAAACCCTATTTGGCGGACTCAAGCCCTACTTCCCACACGTGACACGTGACTTGCACCTCGCTAAGCCGGCGAACTAAAAAATCCACAATACAGACTCCTTCGACGACAATCTCACAAATCGACAACACACGCGCTACCGTCTTGACCGCGCCGCCTCCGTCAAGATGAAGCTCAACATCTCCTACCCGGCCAATGGGTCCCAGAAAATCATCGAGATCGACGATGAGCGCAAGCTGCGTCCCTTCATGGAGAAGCGCATGGGCACCGAAGTCAGCACTCCCTTAAACCTCATCCTTCCCCGACTGTCCGACCATCAACTCGATCAACATACACATACACACACACGACTATGGAGAACGACTGGCTAATTAGGATTTCTTTGATTAGGTTGCCGGCGATGCTCTCGGTGACGAGTTCAGCGGTTACGTGTTCAAGATTACCGGTGGTAACGACAAGCAGGGTACGCATACCAATTCCTCTCTCTTCCCAGTGTCGGAGCAACGGACTCGATAATGGAGAATGGAATTCAACGCACACAACGAGAATAATAATGCTGACGATTTTTGAATTTACAGGTTTCCCCATGAAGCAGGGTGGTACGTACACATCCACACAACAACCTGGGGAATGAACAAGAAAAAAAAATTATATCCAACCCCAGGGATACAACCAACAAACCGCAGGATACTCATCGAATGATTTCTACAGTTCTCCTCCCCACCCGTACCCGTCTGCTCCTTGCCGACGGCCACAGCTGCTACCGCCCCCGCCGCAGCGGTGAGCGCAAGCGCAAGTCCGTCCGTGGTGCCATCACCGGTCTGGACCTTGCCGTCCTTGCTCTGTCCATCGTCAAGCAGGGCGAGGGCGAGCTCCCCGGTCTCACCGACACCGTTGTCCCCAAGCGTCTCGGCCCCAAGCGTGCCACCAAGATCCGCCGCTTCTTCGGTCTCGACAAGAAGGACGACGTCCGCAAGTTCGTCATCCGCCGTACCGTCACCAAGGAGGGCAAGAAGGATTACACCAAGGCCCCCAAGATCCAGCGTCTGGTTACCCCCCAGCGTCTGCAGCGCAAGCGCCAACGTGTTGCCATCAAGCGCCGCCGTGCTGAGACTGCCCGCGATGCTGCGTAAGACTCCCCCATTCTTTCTGCTTCTATGCTCCGATCAATGATCTACGAGTGGCATTGGTTTCATTTCATTTCATTTTTTTTTTGGAAAACATCTGAACTAACGGTTACATAGTAACGACTACGCTAAGCTCCTTGCTGGCCGTGTCCACGAGGAGAAGGCTAAGCGTGATGAGCTCCGCAAGCGGAGGGCTTCCTCCATGCGGAAGTAAACTTCCAAACCCGCGGTTTTATGATTTCGTTCTGCGGCGATGGGGTTTAATGGAGGAGCTTCACGTCTCTGGGATGATTTGAGGGGAATTCACAAAAAATGAATCACTCTCAGGGGCGCGGAGAATACATGTCTGATAAAAAAGAAAAGGGAACAAGAAAAGAGACGGGGAACAGGGTTCAAAACGTACAAAGCAGGCTGAGTGGTTGATACTCCGTCTGTGTTGAACCTACCTTTTTTTGATGACCCTTTTTTTTTTGAATGGAGTGCATGCAAATTTCAATACTCAGTTCTGTCAATTGCTCGAGGCTTTTCAAGGAGTAGGCGTAGTTATGGAGTAGTATATTGTATATTCCCTTAATTTCCCCTCTCTTTGTGGACTTGTCTACTCCACTTGAACTCTAGTTCAATAATCATACTAGTATTACCTTAAATTCCCCCGCTAGTCCTAACTATTCGTACATATGTATATGGGTCACGTGTGTTGAGGGTATATTCGGAATTATGTTATTCAAGATGGCTGCACTTTGCGGTCACTAGTCAAGTCCACGATCGGATGTGTTTCCGGTCGACCTTGATATCCCTCATGACCGAGCAAGAGCTAGTATGGCCTTCAAAGACATGGCTACATGGCTCTACCCCCACGTCTTTTGAACAGCTCGATGACTGTGTGTTCGGGAATTCACCTTGCTTTTCTTATGTCTGCTCCACCTCCGCGGCTAGTAGTGCCCAAGCTACATGTGCTCTTCTGTAAACGTACGTAATGCTAGAACCATAGCAATATATCATTTTACACAGCGAACTCAACACAATTATATCAGCACTTCCATAGAAAAACACCATGTCTAATTGAACGTTGTAAAGCGACCCCGAGGCCTTGAAATATTCTAAACCAAATAGCAAGTACTTTGCATAAGACGAGCACACACATGCACGGTGCAACCGAACCCAGCCAAGGATAACCAACTTCCGCCAGAGAGAACTGCGTAAAGCCAACATTTAAACGTCGGTCTCTCTCTTAAAGAAAAGAAAAGAAAACATAGATGAAAATAATAAAACACCCGGGGACTAACATCCTCGTCCGGCTAATAAAAAGGGTCATAAAAATCGTATTTTTGTTTCCCGCTCACTCCACGGTTTTGCAACCACACTCGTAGGTGATCACTAGGACAACCCGTAGATTCAATCCTCTGTCTTGATGTATTCATTCCTGTCTCTGATTTATCCCACGGTGTGCGAGAACAAGAAGCTAACTGACTCGCCGTTGTGTGTACGACGGCATGCCTCTGCCAATGTAGGGCTGATATCGATCGTATGGATCTTGTCGCACTGCTCTTGCTTGTCACCCAATGGGACAGTGTTGCTGACGATAATGCTGCGAGGAGAGAGTTAATTAAAATGACTCGTTGCTAGTATCCGGGCGTGTACATACCGCTTGAGGCAGCTACCGTTCAAGTTCTCGATCGCCTTGCCGGACAGAATACCGTGTACAACGATAGCGTTGACTTCAGTGGCACCGTGCTGCATGACGGTTTCGGCAGCCTTGGCGAGCGTGCCGCAGGTGTCGGCCATATCGTCGACGATGATAGCGACCTTGTCCTTGACATTACCGACAAGGACCATGCGCGAAACCTCGTTGGGGCGGGCACGTTCCTTGTGAATAAGTGCGAATTGCAAGTCCAGGCGGTCAGCAATGGCAGTAGCACTAACAGCAATTTAAATTAGTTCTTCTACATTCCCCCGCTATAGTGATACATGCGTAGTATCGAGGTAGGTACAACTCACCGCTTAGCACCACCAGCATCAGGGCTGACGATGACACAATTGCTGACATCGAGGTTCTCACGGATATACTTGAGCATGCTGGGCTCGGCATACAGGTTGTCGACGGGGACGTTGAAGAAGCCCTGAATTTGGCTGGCGTGCAGGTCCATAGTGATGACGTGGTTGCAGCCGGCGGTCTGGAGCATGTTGGCCATCAGCTTGGCGGTGATGGGAGCACGGCTCTTGTCCTTCTTATCTTGACGGGCATAAGGGAAGTTGGGGATGACGGCTGTGATGCGACGGGCCGAGGCAGTCTTGCAAGCGTTGATCATGATCAGGAGCTCCATGAGTCCATCGTTGATATCATTGGGTTTCGTCGATTGGAGAATGAAGACTGCGACAAGTCAGATATATATGAGTGGGGGTTATTGATATCATGATGAAAGTGCGATGCACGTACCATCTTCATCCCGCACGCTCTCTCCAATTGTGACACTGGTTTCTTGATTGGAGTATTGCAGGACCATAATCTTGGTCAACTCAATACCGAGCCTGATTCATAGCGCTAGAATTAGCCGGTTACCCAGTCTTGACCTCGTCGATTGCACATACCGGTCAGCAACTAGGTTGGCAAGCTCCGGGTGACTGTTGCCAGTCAAGAGCTTGATGGAGTTGGCCGACATGATGTAGGGCTTTGTGAAATAGTAAGAAGAGAGAGTTTCAATTATAATGAACTCAAAACACACTCTTCTCCAAGATGACCGTGTTCGGCTCAAAAAATCCGCGGCCCCGCATGCCGTTTTTTCTATGCAGTCCCGTGACGGACTCACCGCCTGATGATATAAGCCCCTTGGCCAAGACCTGCCGGAGTATGAAGTTCTACTAAAGAGATACGTAGCGGATTTGAAGGAAAAGAAATAAATGCAGCAATCTAAGTACATAAAGAGGGCTCTAGAAAGAACACGGTTGACCTGCACTTCAACCGAATCCCTTACCAGGTGCCCCAGTTTTCATCTTCTCGTAAAGAAACTTCTCGCTGGCCTATACCACCAGCCTTCCATACTCTCCGCATTCGTCCCCAATAATAAGAAAATCCCGTAAGAATCGAGAGAAACGCCATACTATGCTTTGGCTTGATGAAACCATTCCCACGCCATAGAATAGGACAACAGTCTAGGCAAACCCGAAGTACTCACTGCCAGTCGTTACGGCCGTGTAAAGGCGCTGACGGAGATCTTCGTAGCTTTCATACTCAGGAAGATCAAGCTCTGTTAGAAAATAGTTAGTAAATTGCGCTAATGCAGCTAAGAGATGCGGAGAAAGACTTACGGTTGAAACATGTATGCGAGCTGGGGAGGCGATCTTTATGGCCATAGTCGCGATGGATGTTGAACTTGCTCACACCGTTCATACCCTCAAGCTCCTTGAAGCCATTGAGAGGAACCTTACTGGTTCCAGTGACGAACTGCAAAAGCTTGGCACGCTCCTCCTTGTCGAATGAGCGGACGGCACGCCAGAACCACTGAATCTGCGATGAGGACGCGGAGTAGTTGTGATACTCGGTGTTGTTCTTCCACTCGTCCACGTCGATCTCAGGAAGACCAGAAATCAAAAGTTCCAGCTCTTGCTCGTTGAAGATGGAGATCAACTCGGGAGGAATGATTTCATGGAAACCCTTGAGGAAGTTGTCCAGTTGCTCGCGAACCGACTCGACGAGGCGATATTCGACTACGCGCTGAACGTACTCCTCTTTGTTCTCCTGGGTAACGGGAATGTCGTGGCCACCGGGCTTCAGGTCAATGACCTGCTTCTCGCCAAAGGCATCGGTTTCAATGGCAAATGTCTCGGTAATGATATCAGTAATGTCATTCTCAAGCATCCAAAGAAGTGATTTGTAGTAGTCTAAGTCGAGCGTTTCCATATCCTTGATGGACACGGCTCGTCCGAGGATGTTCTTGTAGACTGCTCGGCTGAAGTGGCAGTCGAGGACACGGCCTTCGTACAAGGCCTTACCGATGATCCGCCCAATGAATTTGAAGAACATGAGATGCTCTGAGTTGACTCCACTAAGGCGGTTAGGGTGGAAGGTAGTCCGATCAGCGGCGACAGGGATGAACAAGGCGTAGTTGGGGTTGAACATGCCACGGGCAAGGACCTGGAACCATTCTCTAGTGACACCACCAGCGTCGACACCCTCCTCGCCGTGGAATCGTACATTCAATTTGCCATACTTCAACTCATCTGCGCTCTTGAAGTACAAGGACTTGAACGAGTCAAGGAAAACCTCAGCTCTGCGCACAGAGAGCTGAAGAGGAGGATGAGGGTGGCGAGGCTCGGCACCGCGGGAGTGAACACGACGAGTAAAGTAGTTGCGCTTGTTGTCGAATTCCAGGACCTTGGGGTTCTTGACCAATAGGGAGAATGTGCCGCTCATCAGGCGAGGGTTCTGGCGAACGAGCTCATTGAGAATCTTGCGATGTTCTTCGGTGAACTTAAAGAAGATGTTTTCCATGCTGAGACCAGCATCAGTTTGGGCGCTGTTGACTGACAACTCACGGCTGCCACGAGACAGCGGCTGATCCTTCAGCGTGGTGTTCTTGCAGACGACCATCAATGCCTCAATGAGAGGGAGGAGGATAGTAGCCACGTTCAGCATATTTTCCTTCTGCCGGATGACAGTCAAGCAGTCACTCAACTTGGTCCAAAGTGGGCCGAAAGTGGCGCTTTCATAGAGTTTCTTGAGCACGTCCTCCTTGGGGGCGGACCCAGCCTCAACATCTTTCGACTTGTCTGCTCGTGCTTGGTCAAACAGATAATCAAGTGCGGTCAAGATACGTAGCAATTTCGCCTGGTCGGAGCTAGCTGGGGAGAACTTAGCCAGAGCAAGACCTTGCATGTCGGTACCAGTCTTGGCCTGGTGGATATGAGGGAGAAGATCCCCCAAATCACTCAGGATGGTATCGCTAAGGGCCTGTGCTTGAGCAACCAATTCATTACCGATCACGTCTCTAGCCCCAGGAACAGCAGAAAGGTTGTTGATGGTGGAAAGCGTATCGCGGAATATCTTGCCATTGCACTCACGAGCCGCAAGGATTTGAACAACCAGTCGGAGGTTGTGATCTGGAACGATAGGAGGCTCGATGGTTCGTTTCTTGCGCTTCTCGTCCTCGGCGGGATTTTTGGAATCTTCAGATTCCTTAGCTTCAGTTGAAGTAGCCTCTTCACCCTCTGCGGTCTCTTGACCAGGAGCTCCAGGGGTTTCCACAGTGGGTAGCGGAGCATCGGTCATGGATGTGTCCATACTGGAATCGGCAGCCTCAGCAAGTTGATCTGCAGATGCTTCGATTTGAGATCTCTCGGGCTTCTTGCCCTTGCCATCTTCCTGTCGCTCCTTCTCGCGACGGAGGAGAACAGTCAATGGCTGTGTGATGCTGCTTAGGAGGCTAGACAGTTGCTCCATACAATTAGGGCTTTCCATTATCAACTTGCGGTCAAGTAGAGAAAGCAATGCATTCAGAGCGAACTTGTTAGCTCGGTTTTCTTTGCCTTTGCCCTTGCGCAATGACTTGAGTTTACCAGCTGAGGCAGAGTCATGCTCCGTCAGGAAGAACCAAGCAATGTGAGGGTTGAACTGCGAAAGGAAAGACAGTGCAGCGATACATTGTTGGATGACCATAATTGGTGTCACTTCACTGCTGACGCTCGAAGCAGTCTGGATAGCGAGGGTTCGCTTAGACTGCGGTGTCTTCTGTGCTCCTGGTGCCTTTGCACGCAAGGAAAGATGAGAAAAGCTGCGTTCAATCGCAGTGGAATCAACGCTGCCATCCTGCAAAATCGAAAGAAGAACGCTGATCACTTCACTTCGATTCTGACGGTTCTCACAAACATTGTGAAGAATATCGTTCAATTGATGGCGGGCGTTGCCTTGCAGAGGCATGAACATCAGGCGTAAAAGGGTTGCAACGCCAGCCTTGTCGAGCATTTGAACAATTTGACGTCTCTGCTCTTTCTTCGGCTCTTGACCGGCGGCAGGCTCAGTTCTCTGTCGGTGATCAATTGCACTCATGTCACCAAACTGGGCCATGCGTCGGCCGCTACCGCCCATACCACGGGCTTCAGTCAAGTACTCTGGACCCAAGGTTGCGAGAACATCCTCGGGCTGATCGGCCAGAACAGCCTGGCGCAGAGAGGGATCGAGAGTGGCAAGGAAGCTGACAGCATCCATTTCTTCTGCTGGTTGAGTGCTAGAAGCTGTAGCGCCAGCACCACCAGCAGTGGCCGCCTGTCGTCGCGCGGTCTCACGTTCCCGCCGGCGTCGATCGGCTAATTCTTGTTGTAGCAATTCTTCACGGATCTCGGCAGGCAAGGCCTCAAGGAATTCTTGGTTTATCTCAGTATCCTCCTCACCCGCGGCGGCAGCCTGGGACCGATGCTCAGCAAGCTGCTGCATGATGACTTCCTCGCGAAGTTCCTCAGGCAGAGCCTCTAGATATTCTGAATCAATCTCTAGACCGGTGATGTCAACTTGGCGGCCCCTGATGTTTGTATAGACTCGACGAGTAGGTTCAGTGGGCTGGGCTTCGGGTTGAGTAGATGGGCCAGCGGTTTCAACCGTAGTATCGGTTTCTTGGACGTCTTCCATGGGCTCATCGACCCCAGCAGCTTGGCGCTCGGCTTCCTGTTGTTCTTTCTCTGCCTGCAGTCGGGCGTTTTCTTCCTCCTCCTTTTGCTTGAGCTCGCGCTGTTTTTCTTCAGCGGCAATACGATCTTGGCGGTCCTTTTCAGCCTTTTCGGCTTGAAGACGTTTGCGTTCCTCTTCCGCGAGCTTCTGGCGCTGCTTCTCCTCCTCGATGGCAGGAGGAACCAAGAGCCTTAGAATGGAGTTGATGACGCGCTGGGTCCGCTCAACATACTGGCTGCTGAAGATAATGCGCGCCTCTTCTTGCCAGCGGTTTCTGGTGGTACCAAGGCCAAACTTGACAGCAGTGTGAGGGTCGTCGCCGCGAGTGCGAGTTGGAGGGCCCGCGCCTCGAGGAATTCCAAGCATATCCTGGATACGACCAGGCAAGACTGCCCGTCGGTCGACATGGACATGAATACCATCAGGGCGAGTGACAACGCCGAAACCTGGCGCCGCCTGTCCACCAATGGCTTGCATAATTGCATTCATGAAGCTGATGGGGCTATCCATGGCAACAACCCGGCCACCTGCAGGGTCAATAGACTGGCCCCAATCGGCGAAAGGATCAGCCGCAGCCCCACGAGGTGGAACGGCAGGATCTGGGCGGTCAGTCCGGACAAGAAGAGGATTAGTGCCATCGTCGTTGCCGCGGGACGGTATTTGGGTTCGGTGGACACGGTGATAAGGCTGGATAGGAACAAGGCCGGATTGGCGACCCGGCATGATTTCAGTGACGGTAGCCCAAGCTGGTGGTGGGCCTCCGCGGAAGCGGGATTGGGCATTTCCTCGGGCCATTGGAGGCTCATCGCCTTCCCATCCCCATGGCTCAAGAAGATCATCGTCTTCTAAATGAGTCAGTAACAATGTGAGAAAATCGTTAGGATAGTTGGACTCACCTTCCATATCCTCATAAGATCCTTGCTCCTCATCGAAATCATCCATGTCCTCGTCAAGTTCATCCATTTCGTCTTCGTCTTCAACTGGACCGGATGTCAGCAAGGTTGGTTCTAACAGCGGCACTGGAAGTTGCCTCAACAGCCTAAGGAGGGACAAACCATCTTCGTCGAGATCATCAAGAATTTCTTCATGAATGTCACCACCTAGGGCATCTCCATGGAGATCATCAACACCTGTACCATTTAGGGCACGGAATAGGTCACCAAGATGTTGATCCTCACCTTGGTGTCGGGTGGATTGTCTGATGTCGGCCATTTCATCCTCGAATTGGTTCATCATCTCGACCTCCTCTTCGTCTTCGGTCATTTCTTCGCTTTCCCATTCGTCCTCTTCCCCATCTTCGAGGCTTTCGTTGTCTCGGTCACCACCGATTTCTCCGTCATACATGTCATCATGCATGTCCAAATGGTCGTGGTCTTCATCGTCATCGTCCTCGTCATCGTCATCATCTTCGTCGAGGATGACTTCGACTGCATCACCGGAAAGACCTTCGATTGGACCCATACCATCGTCATCTTCGTCGCTGACGACTTCTCCATCATCTTCAGCGACATCCTCGTCGTAGTCCATTTCTTCGTCATATTCATCATCGTACATCTCATCGTCCTCACCCTCCGATTCTTCGGTGCTGCTCTCTTCCTCGTCGTGACGAGGCTCTAGCATGCCAAGAGTAGAGTGACGGAAGAGGTCAGGTGTTTCTTCGCGTTCATCTTCCATGTCAGAAACGGAAGTTGCCGACGAGATCTCATCATCCTCGTTATCACCTTGGATATGGATGTCCGAGTTCTCGCTCAGAAGTACAGCAGTTTGAGTAAGTTTATTCAGCGGACGAAGAATATACTTAATGACACGCCTGGAGGACGGGAAATTCAAGTCGACATCGGCGACTGAAGACGTGAGCGCGGGGATAAAGTTCTTTTCGAACATGGTCTTCGCGAGCTGTCTGGTTGAAGTTGGGAAGCCTGCGTCGTTGGTAAATGAGTAGCCGCTGAGCATTTTGTCGAAGAGATCAGCAAGAGACATGAGCTTTGAATACTTGGCATCTAGGGGTTCGGTAGAGGCCATGGCATCTTTGTAGGTCCGGAGAGCATGCTCCAGCACAAAACGGCGGACAAAAGCAAGCTCAGGCTCATCCTCTTCATACTTTGGGTCAGTACGACGCCTGCCAACACCGCCAAATTCACCGGTCTTGGTGCAAAGCGCAACAAGCACTTGCATAGTCCATGTGGAGGTGATGCTGCGCTTTTTGAACGCCAAACTTTCATCGTGATCCATAGTACCAAGGGGAACAAGAACGTTCAACAGATAGTTCAGGACGCCAGAGCGTGGTTTGGAGGGCGTAGTGGCCAGAGGATCAGCTTTGCGGGAAAAGTTGATGAACTCGACCTTGGTCCGGTTGTAAGAAGAAAGAAGTTCTGTCAAGCACTGAAGGAGCAAGCAGCGGTAGATGTAAATTGGATGGTCATCTGCTTTGAACTGGGGCTTCTCTGCCTTCTTGGAACCGCGAGATGCATGGGCTTCGGTAGTGCTCGAAATTGAAGGTGTTGGGTCGTCCACAGCCATCTCAACATCAGTGTGAGTATCGGATTGGTCAGCTGCCTGCTCTGGGAATTCAGGACCAGCTTCTTTGTCGTCCACATCCTTGTAGGACAGAAGCTCCGAAAGCAGGTAATGAATGACACCATCCGGGTTCTCCACAATTGGGGCTTTAAGTTCGGCACCCTTGCTTGGGGTCTTGCCCTTGTCCTCCTTGCCCATGTCCTCCTTGCTCATGTCCGTGTCTTCGTGGGCAGGTGCTTCGGCTGCTGTAGATGGTTCTGGTTTGTGCTCTTCGAGGAGGATACTGGGTCTTCCTCGCTTTTGCTGCCGATCTTTGTCGGCCTTCAACCCAAGAACCTGTGGACGTTGATGGTTGTCATATCGGACCAACCGCAGCTTTTCATTCGTAACCTCCACAAAGATATCAGGAGCTCTCAGCACGAGGTGATAAAGCTGCCGTACATAGCCGTTCGTGTCAATCTGACGGGCAGTCTTGGACTCGAAAGCGGCAACAATTTCACTCCTCATGATCTGCCGGATAGTAGCTTCGTCCTCGACGATGTGACGAAGGATGAGCATGAAGGCGCTTTGAAGTTTATCATTAGTAGCACTGGAAAGTTGCTTAACCATCACAAACAAACGCTGAAGGTTTCGCTTCTCACCAAAGCAGGCGGCAATGCTACGCTCGCGAGTGAGAATGACAAGAACACGGCAAATAGATAGCGCTAGTGTATCGTCCTTGCCCACTCGGGGTAGGATCTCGACAAGAGATTCAAATAGCTGAGTCTTCTCCTCGAGCGAGACAAGGGGTTCGTCTTTAAGATGGGCTGGTTCGTCGCCGGCGGGGTTAGGATCATCAAGGTTCGGCAGCTTCCAGGCAATCTCTGGAGGCTGACAATCATCAGACAGCAGCTTCTCGAGAATAAGCAGGACATGTCCAACCCAAGGGAAGGTTTCTTGGTCAGGCTTCTCGGGTGTTGGGAGCTTGATAAACCCAAGGAAGGTCGAGAAGCAATCTTTGAGCTCTTCAAGAGTGGCGCGGTACATATCAACATCTTGAAGGGTCAATGCGAGAATGTGTGCATAAGCCGCAATCTTTTTGCCCGCTGTTTGGAAGTTCTCCATTTGCAGGGAGACTAGCGATTGAACGAGGGTCTCTCCAATGTCTCGACGGAAGTTGACGGGCTCGCTATGCTTCTTGATAGCCGAGGTGATCAAGTCAGACAGCTCGAAAGAGACGTCATGGTGTTCGTTTAGAATGTCCAGAGCTCGATCGATCAGGTTTGACCGAATGTTTTGCCTCTCTGCATCCAGGTCTTCGACCGTAACCATATGGCGACGCTTGGCCGGTTCTCCCTGGGATGCCCCGGTAGGTTCAGAAGAGCTTGCCCCGATATTACGACTCTCGGGTCGACGCTGGTTCGATGACTCGCCTTGGTCATCGCTATCCATATCATCATTGTCGTTGAGAACATTGTCCAGAGCTCTAGCCAACCCATCGTGCATGTCAGAGTCAATATCACCTCCGGGGACAGGAGGACGTTGTAATGCATCAGGCACGGGCCGTCCGGTGGCTTGAGCTAGAAGCAATTGTAGTGCTGCAGAGCGGTGGTCTAAGAGTGCATTAGCGCCATGGAAAGGTTGAACCTCTCCAATACCCTGATCCTCGAGGGAGTCGATGCCAGAAGCAGACTCGGGTACTCCAGTTTTGATATCGCCGGGACCCGGGGGGATTCTGGGAGGGGCTCGTAGCCACTGCTGCGCTTTGCAGTATTCTTCGGCCGCCACCAAAAGATTGTTACAACGATAAAGGGCTTCTTTGTTAAGATCAACATCCATGTACCCTTTCTCAAGCAAGGCAGTTGCTCGTTCCGTGTGGACAACGAATGGTTTCTTGGGCATATCTACCAAGAGGGGCGGGGTATCTGCTTTACGAGCCGCACCGGCCTCGTATTCACCATCCAAGGAGCACCGCATAATATCAATCAACAATCGGACAATCGGACTCGATGACTGGGTTGCAAAGTCAGAGTTCCACATGTCTTTGGCCATGGGCAAAATCTCCATGCGAAGTTCTACCAGGAGTTGACCTGGCTGGAAGTAATCGGGACGGTCTCGGTCACGTTCAGGGTGAGAAGTCAAGGCTTGTGTCTGGCTAGAGTCCACGATGAATTTCCCAGCAGTGAGGTCTGCGAATAACCCAAGAATGATCTTAATTCCACCATACCCGGATGCAAGCCGGTCAGCAAGCTCTTTGTCCTGGTCGGGGATGGACTCCGCAGATGGGAGGGACTTGATGTCAGCCAAGAAGACATCACAGATGTCTTTCAACACTTTAAGGCCGTTGTTTTTATTGAATGAAACAAGAACTGAAGTCAAGTAGTTCGGACTAGGACGGTCTGCCGAGACTTCATAGAGGAGGTGCGAGAAGTGAGAAAGAATAACAATGAGATACGCGAACCGGTGCTTAGGGCTGTCACTCGAATTGGCAGGGTTAAACTGCAGTTGGCGAAGAACACCTGCAGCAATGGCGTCTGATACCATAATAGCATTCGCCTTCTGTTTCTGCAGCGGATCTGTGCGTCTCTTGCCGATAATACCGAGTCCGAGGTTGTGCAAGAAGCCCGTAATCGAGGTTGGCAGAGCGCTTAGGAGGTAGCGAAGCGTACGCGCATTCTTGAAGGCAGGACTTTGCTCATCGACTTCGGTGTCGTCTTCCTTCAGACTCTGGCCTGGCTGAGCCGGGGCAGTCTCTGGTGCACCAGTGCCCTCCCGTTGAGGATCAGCGCCAGGCATTGCTGAAGGCTCCTGGGGGTTCCCAGTAACCGGAGCAGCCTTCGACTTTCCAGAGCCTTGCTTTTCAGCAGAGGCCTGTGTGGCTTTGAGCCACTTCTCGGGGATGTTCTTCTCCAGCAAAATTCCTTCCCACACGCAAGAAGCAAGAAGGTTGCTCAATGAAGAGATCAGGGAACAGTAGTGGTCCGCAAGGTTGGCTTGGCCAAAGATGGAGGTAGACTGACCAGGTCGAGTTTGGTACAGTGGCGACGCGAAAACCTCGCGAAGGACGTCGGTGAGGAGAAGAACGGCATTCAAGTGCCTCACGAAGAATGTGCCAGATTTAGCAGCCGCTGTAGGCTCAAGAGCCGGCTTTTTAGAGTCTGCTGGCTTAATCAATTCTGTAAAGAATCCCGATCCAGTGGGCGCAGTCCAAAAGGCCGACAGATTGTCCACTGCTGCCTGTGCGCGTCGAACGAGAGATGGGAGGACAAGGTGAGGCTTCGTTTCCGCAAGCATGTGAACAAGGACAGTAATCTCTTGGTTGGCGTTGGTGCTATGGAAATCAAATGCCAAGCTTTGGAGAGTCGCAAGATCTAACAAGAACTCTGTGCCGCCGGCCAGGATGAAGGATGTGCAGTTTGTCTGATTCTCGAAGAAAGCACCTAGGAATCGCAACGCTGGGAACAGGTAGTCCGTAGCTGAAAGACCATGATCATCCTTATCTTTAGGCTCGAAGTCGGGGCCCGGCGAAGGAAGAACATGATCCAGATGACCAACGACAAGCTTAGCGCCGTTAGGAAGAGTGTTCACATTGAGCTGGGGAGCACCAAACGAGGCAGGGTCGTCTATAGACGCATCAACGGCTGTGCCGATTTCTCGGAACAATGAAAAGACATCTCCTGAAAGAGTTGCTTTGCCGTCGGCGTCTTCAGTCCACATCTTCGTGCCCATACCTAGCTCCCATGCCTTGACTCGCCCCAGAATGTTGACGCGAGCAGCCATTACGAGAACAGCAGACATAATAGAGGTCTTCAATGCCGGGTGGTGTCGAACAAGCTCGTCAAAAGTCGTTCCCAGCGAACGAACCAGTTCTGGGTCATCCTTCAGGCACTTGACATGCTCAGGGTTCTCAAAGATCTCGAAGAAGCTTTCCAGTGCATCGGAGGACTGGAAGAGGTCCAAACCAGAGGAGTTCAAGCAGATGGCTCCAAACGCACCAGGGATACAAGCAAGAGCATCAGCGGCGGGCATGATGCCAGGTGCGAGAGGTGTATTCTGGGGTCTAACGATGGCATACTCGCGATCTTTCTGCTTTTCCTCGGACTGGGTGGCGGCTTCGGCGCTGGGCGGTTGAGTAGCCGGTTCGGCTTCGGTCTGGGCCTCGGTCTCGCGGTCTTCGAGCTCAACGACCGCCGGCTTCTCCCGCACCTGAAGTTCACGGCCCATCACAGCAGCAAGAAGGCTCTTGCTGAGGCCAGCCTCGGCGATGACAGCATAACTAGTAGGCTCGTTGTGGATGAAGCTGCTGAGAATATTGACAGCATTGCTCCAAACATGCGAGCCAAACACACGAGCATTCTCGAACACAAGGCGAAGAGAAGTCAACAGCTGAGGCGAATCGATCAAGTTTCGCAGAACTCGGTCGAAGCCTCCGCCATTGTGCTGCATGATATGGTTGACAAAACGGAACATCCAGCGCAGAGTCTGCTGCTGGAAGTAAGGGATTTGATAGTCAACCGAAGGATTCTTGTATTGAGCAGGGAATCCATCCCCGCGATTGACTTTCTCAAACGCGGTCTTGGTCTCATGGTCAATCAAATCAGACATGGCGTCGAAGCCCTTTGCTGTTGTCAATGTACCCAGTGCATCGCGAACCGCGTGCACAAATGTGTCAAGGAACTCCATAATTCGGGAATAGACTCGGCGGGATTTTTCAGTCCGCAGATTCAAAATATCAACAAACATGGGAATCAGACCGGCTGCAACCAGAGTCTCCGGTGTACGTGTGCTCGAGCTTGGGAGAGTGCGCAGGAGTGCAAGCAAAGCATCTCGCCACTCATCGAAGTAGGCATCATCCGGATCATTGTTCTCAGGGCCTAGTTCATTGACCATTTTACGGGTCAAGAACATAAGAATACCGTGATTTACATTGACGCTCAAAGCTGCACAGACGTCAACAGCACGAGCCTTGTGCTTGGCCAACGCATCCAGAGTCTGGATCGCCAAAGTTTGGACAGACCGGGAGACCTCGAGGTCACCACTGGCACCGAGATGAACCACTTCAGCAAGCTGATAAGCAAGTTGCAGACGCTTCGGTTGTTCCAGGTCCGATTGAAGAACCTTTGATTGGAAGGTACTCTCGGGCTGGACATGGGCCAGGTTGGTGACTGCCAGTGCTTTGATGGAAAGAATCTGTTCTCGCGTGGCACGCGACTCTGTCAACGCCTTTGCCACTCGGAGCTTTTGAAGCAGCTCATATTTTGATTCGAGGGGTAGATGAGGCAAGTTAGCTGCAAGAAGGTCTTCCACCTTTGCGGTTGAAATTTTTGAATGGGGAAGCTCTAGCACTTTGCCCGCTCGCGTGGCCTCTTCTGCCTTCCCACCGACGGCAGCCGGTGATTCATCTCCATTCGAGCCCAGGTTGGAATGAGGAGTTGGGTGTGTTGCACTACGTCGCAATGGGGTTGGCGTGGTTGGAACGTGAGAGTGCTCTGTCTGGCCAAAATCGGATGCCGTTCTGGCCTGTTCGGGACTCGAGGGATAGTAGAGAACTCGGACATCTCCCCATTCTTCCCAGCCGTCGGTATCACGCACGAGGGAAACCAGTTCATTGGCGTTGATTTTAGTCTGGGCTGTATTTTCCTTCCCCTTGGTTAAAACGGCGGGAGATGCGGCAAACGGCGTTTTACTAGCGATGACTGGACGGGGGAAAGGTGCTGCGATCTTCTGCAACTTTTCGAGGTCAAGAGCATAGTGGGACTGTAGTACGGACTGCTGATGAGTGCCACGCTGACGAGAGTGGTACCGTTGGGCTAAGCAAAGAGACAGCCGCAATGTAGATTGTAGGAGAGAGAGTGAGGTGGTATTCAACAGATCACCCAGACGGTCGCTGCTGCTGTACAGGCTGCGATTCCCACATTTATCGAGCAAAAGACGAGAGAAATCAAGAACTGCTTCCACAAGCTCTCTATCTCCATCAGGGCCGTATCCCAGGGCATTCAGTTTGGCATCAACACCCTCTGCGGGTTTCTGATTCTCGTCAGCCGAGTATGATTCCTCCAAAACACTTCGAGTGAACAGCTGGGTCTGAGGGCCAGTATTCAGGAAATATTTCTCCACGGCTGAGGCCAGGATCTCATCGAATCGGTCCAGGACCTGGATCCAATGGTAGAGATCACCGCGTGGGAACGGCCATAGCTTGGGGAATGTGTTGAGAAGCGACGGGAGCTCTGGAACGGGAATACTTGTGGCGCGCGATATGAATTCTTGCAAAAAAGGTGACTGTGATGGAAGGAAAATTTTTTAGTTGGGTTGCACATCAGGCTTCCAGAGAGAGTAACTTACGATTGTAGCCTCATGCTTTTGGCTAGCTACCTTCTTAATTCTCCCCATGATACCGATCGGTTGACCAGTCAAACATGAGGGAGTTAAGAGATTCCAGGAGGATTGTCTCCTAGAGAGGGTAGAGCGAGAAGGTCGTTAAAGACCGATGTCGCGGAGAAAGCGCGAAGATGCCTTATGACGTTTTTGGTGCTGCTTTGCTGCCTCAACGAAAATCGAATCAACTCAACGTGATGAACACCTGAGCAATATTTCTCTGTCAATAAAACGCAAATCAAAGAGATGCTCGATCGAATTTAAAATTCAATGAAGGATCTTTGAGTAAGAAGCTTCAACTCTGAGAGCTGAGAGAGATGAGATATCGGAAGTCGGTCAAATAAGGGAAAACGGGTGCAGGTCGTTATCCCTCAAGATCTGACGTAGAGGTATTAAGGATGTCAAAAGGAAAAGATGACAGGAAGGGGTGGTTTGATAGAAGAGAAGAGAAAAAGGACGAGCAGCGTGAAGAGAAGCTGCCGGCAGAAGCCAGAAGGGCGGAGCCGTTGATTTCCCCGCTGGGCCTCAGGCATCTCTTGTCTTTTCCAACTTCCAACTTCCAATCTTCAATATGATGCAATTGTTGGATTCTATCTTATGTACAGAGCAAAATACAATGGAATCTACTTGACTACAGTCTTTCAACTATTTTTGAAAAATGTGGGACTCCAGGTTTAAAAGCCAGCTTCGATCTTATTGATGCGCGGTGAATCACACCGAGAAAAGTACATGCACACTATACAAACAACCAGCCATAAACATTACAAAGATCTTTCAAACAAAACTCAACTCCTTTGCAATCCTCGTATATACAGGCTTTACTCCTTTCTAGCAGGCAGATCTCCGTCCCATTGGATTTTCATAGTCGCTGGGAACGGAGTGAAGCTACTGTGCTTGGCATCCATATACATGGCGATTCCTCCCAGTCCATTGAGCCTCTTCAGATGGCCTTGGGGTCCAGGAGCGCGACGGACATTATCCAGTCGCCCAAGCACCTTAAGCATAGTAGAAAGTGCAAGAGGACACATTTTAACGCCCAGGCATTCATGAGGACCGAAGCCAAAGTGAGTGTACAGGCTCATATCACGGTCAAGACGGACCTTGTCGGGATCGGGGAACGCAACAGGATCACGGCCTGCAACAACCTATATTTCGCATGGTCTGTTAATATCTGAATGTGGACAGAAAAAAAAGCGATACCAAAAAACTTACCAGGTTGCAAATGATCTCCTGGCCAGCTTTTAAACTGACCTTCTCACCGTTATCTTCGACCACAGTTGGCTGGGTGACGAATCGTGGCAATGCTACCGAGCATCGGAGTCTCGCTCCTTCCATGAAGCTGTATACAGTTAGTATGGCCTCTTAGATCCTAATTAGGATATGAAGAAACTTACTATCGCACAAGGAGCTCGTCGGCCTCAGGAGTGTCCTCCCTAGACAAGCGCTGGATCTCTACCAGATGCTCCGCCGCTTCTTCGGAGAGGTAGTAGTCGATGCACTGGGAGAAGAGCTGGCCTTGATTGGCAACCAATGCACCTGCCGTGGGAAGAATGTGAGACCACACAATGTCCTTAACGGGCAACTCGCTGTCCAGCAAGCGTTGGATCATGTGCACACCATATTCACTCAAAATGTCATGGCGGTGTAGGCGGTTGACCAGGTTGGAAATAAATCCAGTCTTAGAAACGAGTTCGACGTTGGCTAGCGTCAACTCACCCAGCTCCTGTGCAACATTGCGAGCAGTCTGGCAAAGTTGGAAAGACTTGGATACGTCAACGTCGTAGAAAATACTAGCGAAGATCACGGCTAAAATCTGGTACAGCTCCTGCTCGCTGAACACACCTCTTGGGTTTGACTCTGTCTTGAGAGACAGAGAGAAAACGTTGGCACAGAAGTGAACTTGGGCGAGAATGGCAACATCACGAACGAGGTCGACCTGATTGACGCCAGCAACCTTGAATGAGTTTCGCTCGAGAAGTTTCAAAGTAATATCCTCGTAGAAGGCTTTCACTTCCGATTCCCACTTTTCACGGTGCAGAGCAGAACCGATCATCTTTCGAGAAGCTGCGTTGGCAGGGAGATCACCCGACAAGGCGAAGTCTCGGCCGTAAGGACGACCGCTGTTCTCCATCAAGAATTGGATCTTCTCACCCCACACTACCTTGAATCCTGCTTGGTCTTTCAAGATCTTTGTGCAAGCAGAGTGGGAGTTGATGAAGAGGGCCGGGGCTTTATAAAATGGTCGGTCAAAGCTATAGGTCTTTACCTTACCAAGACTGGTCAAGATCTTCTTGTTCTCATCAGGGACAACCATCGGGAAGTGAGCGTAAACTGAGTCGCCACGGAAATGATTAGGGAAGGCCTTCAGGACCAGTTTGTAGAAGACTTGACCGCCATCAACCGAGACATCATTGTTGATCTCATTGAATGCCCAGTTTGTGAGATGCTTCGGTGTGAAGTCAACAGTATAGAAGCGATCGCCACGAACCAAGGCAACTGCATCTGAGAGAATGGCCCTCGAGGTCGTAAAATTGGTGCACAGACCGCTACCCGGGGTCATGGCCTGTTTAGCCTCTTCGACAATGAGGCCAGGGTACAACTCAACGAGGTCGGGGTGGTCATAGAAATGCTTAAGCTGGTTCGCGATATATGGGTCTGGGTTGATCTCTTCGAAGGTTTGATAAGACGCCAAACCAAAGTATTGACGGAATTCGTTCAAGGTAGCCAAATTCCAAGAGCGTGCCTGCTTGATGCCAAGAACCTCGATGCTTCTGAAGACATCCGGCACATTCAAAGCTCCGAAAGCTCCGGCAGGATCCTCAACACCCTCCTCAAAGATCTTGACCAAATCATTATCGTCGAATCTCCCATCTGCTTGGCGTGGCAATTTGGCGAAAGGGCGTTCTTGGGGATCCGCTGGGAGTTTTGATTCCCATTGGCGAAGACCCCCTGTGAATTGCTGCATGCTAATATCCTTCGGATCCTGCCCATCGAATAGCTCTTTATACAGATCCTGTGACCACTTGTCGTCCCGAGCAGAGACACAAGAATGCCAGCGATATACAAGATTGAACTCGGCAGATACTTGGTTTCCGGTAGCCTGGGCAGGTGCCTGGCCAAGCAAACCATCCTTTATCTCCGCACGGGGATCCAGACTCCATATACTGTCAGTTCGGTTGACGTTGAGAATGGTCCGGACATAATCCTTCAGAATGATGTTAACATAAAGACCACAAGTAACCAGTCTTGCAGTCTGGAAGAGGTCGTTATCCCAGGTGGTATAAGCTTGAGCATTTGACTCGTCCGGTTTCGTGAAACGGCCACCTTCATTGATAGCTGCCAATTGGGTGACAACCGAGTTGTGGAAACGGTTGAACATGATGAGAAGGACGCCAACGCCCGGTGGGAACCCCAAGACCCGCTTGGTGGAAAAGCAGTCAGGTTTCAACTTTCCATCCTTGAATGTTCTGACTGTATCTTGTTCTTTCTGATTGTTACCATAAAGTGGAGACAAGTCCAAGTACGAGGATGTCAAAGATTTGGATTGGTCCCTGGGGTCCGTCTGGAATAAGTCTGAGAACTGTTAGCTTCAATGATTCCGCTATCTCTTATTGCAGAGATCTCAACCAACAGGCAATAACTTACCATGAATGATAATAGAGGCAAGATAGAATAGCACGCTAGAAATCTTGTTCGGGTGTTCCTTGAAATCCTTCCGGGCCAAGAGACTATCGAAAAGAGCCTCTGGCTCTGGGAGAGAGGCAGACTGCATAGTCTTCGGCCGAACAGACCGTGCATACGGAGTGTTAGCAGCACCAATCTGAGGCCAGAAGGGGTTCTTGGGCTATTTAGCAGATATTCTCAATTTTTAAGGGGACAATTCCTACGTTTCCAGATCCATCAGCCTTCCGGTATGCCGCATCGCGTCCAAGATAGCTACATCACTAGTCAGCCACTAGACATTTTCACACATACCACCAGCGCATTGCATGACTCACGAGGCAGGTGGGTGCTCTAGATCCCCCCATAATTGGGCGAGAAAGGTATTGGTCAGCTCCTTGCCATTTCGAGATGTCGAAGGCAAGCCAGCAGCAAGCTATAGATGAGTTAGAGCGTGAACATAGCCAATTCCTTGCGGAAACACAAACCTGAACCACGCGCTCCATGACATAGTCTCTGTCATTCACAGCCTCACCCGTCACGGCACTTTTGGCAACGTCCGCCAAAGTCTTAGCATCTTTCAGGTCAAAATGAAGCAGGTCCTTGGCAAGGCCCGTCACAGTTGGCGCTTGTATATAGCTACCATCGCCAGTTTGGGTGGGCAAGGGCCGCAAGGCTGCACCCACAACTTGCTCAACCTGAGCAATCCTGCTGCTGGAATTGGACTCGTTCTCAGACATATTGAATTGAGATGATATGATACAATAGAATAATATATAAGAAATTCGAGTGCAAACTGGGACTGATCTGTTAGCTTCAATGTCATGGATACCAGCAGGGTGGTATTTTGCGACTAAGTGTTTAAGGAGACCTTGAACGGGGGCCAAATAGTTCAAGGTAGAAGTGGAACAAGACAAACAAGTAAAACAAGAAAAAACAATAGTGTAGCGACTAGTAGCTTACCGGTATATGTCAAGCACGGTTGGATAGGGTGAAATATCGAGGTAATAAGGTGGACAGCTTGGCAACAACTCAGAATCGCAAACCTGTATATAGAAAAGCAGCAAAAGAAACAACAATCACAGTGTAGTTAAGAAAAGAAGAAGTGCATGCGATCATTTCGGCGGAAATGAGATAGCATATTATTATAAGCTGTGGAAGCACGGAGTAATCCGAGAGCCATCAGCCGAGCAATGCGTACGGCTGAATGGACCTCACATCCTAGAGGTTCAGCCGCGCCTCCATTTATCATTCTTAGCGTAAGGTGGACATCCTGGGAGAAGAGTAATGCCCCACTGCTATAAGCAATTAATTATCTCTGATTCGCCCATGCTTATCCCCCGTCGAGTCCTACG